GGAAAGCACAGATCTGCCCTTAGTCTTTACATAACAAATAGAGCAAAAAATAAGACTGAAATAAATAACAACTGAAACAACTAAATGACCAATAGCTAACCCTAGGCAGACTAGAACATCTTCTACCCTACGAACACAGTGGGACCATAGCTGTGGGGCCCACATCAGTGTTCTCTACAATATGATTCTTTTAAAATCTAAATACAGCATAAGTGCATCATTCAGAAATCAAAAAACATTTTAATAGATACTAACTCTCCACTTAAAAGAGCTGTAATTTAATCATTTCTTCTTTTATAGAAGACAAATTTTACATATAAAGTGAATATAAGATCAAGTATCATTTTCTTTACATGTCTAAGCTATAACCCAACCCACAGCTCCATTATTAGATGACATGAGCATGCTTAGTTTTGACCCAGAAACACTTTCCCGAATTCAAAGCAAAACATTGGCATTGGAAACCTAATGACTACAAACCTACCCATTCCTCCTTTTAGATAATATTTGTTCAAGTTTTCTCAGAAAAGATGAAAAAGGTTAGACCCATAGGCAAAGATAAATTGCACCATGGCTGTGAATGGTTAGAGTGCAACACATAACAATATAAAGCTACAGGCTTTGAACTAGTCTTCTCAATTAGTTGCAATATGGCTCTCAATGGCCTCCATATCTAACTGAACTTGGAACTCCTGAAATTTTTATCACTTTTTTAAAGTTTCTTTGAAATAATAGCAGTATCTTCACAAAAAAGAAAAACATTTACTAATAAATGAATATTCTGTAGCATTATCATGAATTTAAGCAAACCTGAACTATCTCTTTCTTCTTGTGAACTTCTCCTTTAGGAAGTGGAACATACTCTTCAGCCTCAAGGTCAAATTCTGTAGCAAAAGCATCACTTCTACCGACCCTTTTAACTGCTCCACTATTTGCCTCAATATATATAACATCACCAACAGCAACCTGCAATTACAAAAGGGATGTTATAAGACCCAACAATATTACAAGGGCTAATGTAAAAAAAAAACAGCAAAGGTAAATAAAAACACATGCTCAAATTTGTAAAAGAATATTCTATAACATTGAAACAATTATATTAATGGTGTAGGAAAAAGGTGTGAAGCAAAGGAACTCAAAATATTCAACTCAGCATACATGCCAAAAAATAAAGAAATAAACAAACCAAAAGGCATAACCTTTTCCTTAATTAAAGCATCATAAATAGTTGGGTCCAACTTCAGTTGCTTGGTTCCTTTGACAGTTTTTAGCCCAATAATCACATGATTAATGCTTTTCCCATAGCCACCTGTAGTGCTCTCGGTTTCTTCTGGGGAAAGTTCAGTCACCTAAAACAGGAACAGGTTAGCCAACAAATCAGAAACTGGAAGGAAATTTGGAGATGAAAATAGAATTGGAAAGGGGGGGGCTTGCCTCTCCTTCATAGACCTCCTTGTTTTCTTTGATACGTAGACCAATGGCCCTTCGGAAGTTTTCCATTAAAACTTCAGTTTTCTTTACTTCTGACGAATATACTTCTGATCCAACCATTGGGCAGAACGGTACCTACATTTTAAATATAACCAAAGAAATGTTTTCAACATTGCAACACTAGTGCTAAAAGTTCAGCCAGAGGTAGTGAAAGGAGCAGCCGCAAAAAGAATTTAACTCAAAATTATTAAGAAAAACGTGGACAGAATCAGTTGTAACCGAGGAAACGAGACGTTGGTGAATATAGAAAACTTAAGAGTTGAGTACCTTGCTTCCAAGCTCCTGGGATATTCCAAGGGCTAATGCAGTTTTCCCTGTTCCAGGAGGACCGGCCAATAAGACTGCCCTGCCAGCCATCTTCTTCTGCCGTATCATATCAACGACTAGACCAGCTGCTTCTCGAGCCCCCAGCTGACCGACAAACCCAGCAGCCATAGAGATCGCTCTTCCAATGGGCTAGAGCAGAAATGCAGTGACCAGTGAGCGCAAATAAATAATAAACATAATGCCGAAGAAGAAGAACTTGAGAAGGTTCGAACATCACAATTTAGTTACAACCAAGGAGAAACATGACCAGACGCCAACTTAAATCATGAACTCCTAAAGCTAAAATATCACAAACCCACTCCCTTTATGCTGCAGACGCTAGAAATAACTGTGTAAAATATATTGTTAATACTAATATATAATTCCAGAGAGACAATACATCGAGACCAAGGCCTTTGATGTGGGTATGGGTAGCTATTCTCTGCTTCTTTGTGGTTGACTGAACCTCTTCGATCTTCATCATCCTTCACTCTCTCTTGAATGTGCAGACTCTTTGCTCTTTTTCCTTCCCCGCGCACTTTTCTCGAATGTCCTGAACTCCGAAAACCATTATTAGGAGTTGCCAACGGTTCGGTTTAGAACAGGAACGACCGCGGCCTCGTTAAGACTTTAACTCCAACCCTACTGGGCTCACCCCGGTTCATGGGATAGTGGGACTGTGGGTTCAGGGACTAGGAGCCAGTGACCCGGGTCCCCATGTACTACAAACCAGGAAGGCTGGAAACAGTTTCACTCCGTTAGTTCGTCTACTTCCAAAATTTTTCACTTTGCACTTTCAAGCCTTTCACTCTGTCTCCATCCATTTGTTGCATCTTATCACCATCAAAATGATGACAGACACCCAACTGTAGGCTGGAAATACAAAAATAGTCTGTCGTTGTCCGCCTTATGTCTCATGGTTGAGACAACAAGAACAAGCCATCAATTCTAGTTTCTTCATGCTTCCACACTCTGGCCATGTTTTTCTTCCATTGTTGATTGTTCTTTCTCTGATATCTCCCAATGAGGATAACTGGTATCTTGAAGACTTGAACTGCAAAGTGCACATTGCTGTGTCTCTAGATGATGAAGGTATGTGAAGTGCAGGAAGTGGTTCGTGTATGATGTGGGATGCAGTTATTTGCAATAGACGCCTGGCGTGTTTGTATGATGTACTTCATATTGATTATGAATTCCTATTAAGTTGAAAGAAATCCATTCAGAAATAGGAATCATCCATTCAATAAATCTTGTACTGGCAGTCAGGAATTCCTTGTGATTTTAGTTGGGGACTTTGATGCAGGGGCAAATTATCATTACATGGGCATTTTCTTAAACTGACTCCAAACAAGCTGAGGTTATTTTTCATTAACAGTGGTCAATGAGATTTGTTGTATCTTTCTGAACGAGCAATTCAGCCCAGATGCCATGACCTTTGCTTTTCTAACGAGATGTCTATGAACCCATGTGCCTGCAACTCTCTCAAGACTCGAGCCATCCAATCACCACCAAGCAGTCATCTTTCACGGAGGACTGTAAGTGAAGGCAAGCTTTAATCTTTGCAAGAGATATATAGTTAAGAGAATATAGGACCTGCTTATCTTAAGAAATTCCTTTGTGGTTTCTGAAACACCTCTGCTCCTGAAGGGCATGGAATTATTCGTTTACAAGATCTGACATGTATTTCCATAAAAAACAAGCTGGAGTTTTTCTTTTACAAGATTTATGTATTTGAAGAGAAACAGGCTTTCATCTAACATTACATAAAGGATGGCAAAAAAAATTGGCTTGCCTCATTTCATGTTACATCTTAAAAACCAGGGAGAATGGGCTTGAATATGTTGCTGAGACCACTGATTCTGTATCTTCCCTAAGATGTGCAACTCAATTCTTTTGGATGAATTTCTTTTGTCCCTGTACATTCTGACTTTCTTTTATGATGGAGTGATGGGCATGCTTTGATGAAATGATTCTACCTGATCCTAGCTGATGGATCCCCATGGAAGGCCTCCTGTTCAAAGGGATATCGCTGCCAAGACTTCCACTTGAGCTGCTGTTTGGAAGACGCTGATTGCTTGTATTGGGCCGTGATCTGAATAAGTTCTCTTGTTCAACTGTCACCTGACTTTGCAACCTCTTAATTTCCTATACAAGAATCATTACAAATCAATGACAATAAAGAGGGCAGCATGTTAGTGATTCTGATTTCTGAGTAACATGCCATTGTCTTTCTGCTCCTTTTTTAAAGAAACAAAGAAAGAAGAAAAATTGAACCTATTCTGTCTGTTTCAAAATAATATTCTAACTTTGTTATTACCAAGTGATACTTACCTTTTGCTTTTGCTTCTCCTCTTCTTTTTCCTGCCTTACCAAATTGTACTCTTCCAACATTGCCAAGAGAGGTATCTATACAAAAAGGAATAATCAGTCCTATCAAGAAGAGAATTTGGTCCTGCAGGGCAATAAAAATTGGAAGCTCTCACACGTTTTAGAATCCAGAGTTTTAGACCCATAATTACACATGAAACTTGATTGCTTCAATTTGCCCTGTCATTAAATGAATAAATATTATAATCTTATGATGTTTCAGATTTAGGCCATTCTAGTGATATAAGAACCTACGGAACCCAGATACCTGTACATGCCTAGCATACCAGTGTTGTACAGAACATGTACCCAGTACGATAGCAAATACTGCATGGACACTTTTGGATATACTATATGGCATTATAACACTTTCAAAATATGTAGAGTTGTATGTTTTACTAAATCATACTATAAAAAAAAATTGTGTATATATTGGACATCTAATTAGATTTGACAAGACATAAGCCTTGGAAAATAAAAATTTAGCTTCAAAAAATAGATACAGAAGCATGACATAATCAATTATATGGAATACGTATACCGTATACATGTCCAGAATTTTAGGAAATGGAGTCATATCCCCATTTCCTATGTCTGTCCATGTTAGCGTCCATGTGTGGGTATCATGGTTTAGAGTAGCTTTACATTGATTTACATTAAATTCCATCTTATTATGGAGTTTGTGTACCACTGATAGCATCTTCTACTATTCTACATTAACTCTTTAAAAACTATACCAAATAATGGACATAAAAATGTCAATCTCTAGTTTGAATGATTGCTTTAACGTCTGGGTTTTCACCTTTTTAAAATTGAAGCAAAATATTGATAGTTTCTTGAATTAATAGGAACAATTTCAATGGCTTATTTCCAAGTCATTCTGATGTGACAATTTCAGCTCAAGTAAGCTTTCCAAGATTTGTGTGCATTAGTTCTCATATTTGCTGATCATTTAACAATAAAAGAGTGCATCTTTTTCAACATAATGATAAAGAATCAAGGATGAATTGGAAATTAATTGCAGCATCACACTACAAAGTTTCTATGCCACGCCATTAATGTTAGTGAGGAAGAAAATGGTTTTACTAAAAGAAGGTACAATGTCTCACCGAATCATATAAGAAGATTTTCTTCCTTTCTTCTTCCCATATCTTGGTTTTTGTTATCAACGTATCCACCAAAGCTGCACTTGTAACATCTATGTTAAAACATATGATTTGTCATAGTCATCATCATCGTCAGTTGATTCATTATAATATCCCCATAACAGAAAAGTCCAGAATAGACTTTTAATTGATATAGATGTACAAGCATTAAATCATTTACATGTTTCCACTATGTAAAATAATATTGGGTGATTTCTTTATCAATTCTTCCATGCAATTTTCTGATTGATGAGGTTATTATTGGTTTACTTTTCCTTCCCATTTCTTTTTTTTTTTAATCCCTTTCTTGCAAATAAATAAAGCAATTAATAGGATTAATGGCTAGACCAATAATTTGTTTAATTCAAATTGAGGAGTTTTGATATGTTCAAGTCAAATTAGCCAATTCCTATGGACAAATTTCTATCGACTTAGAATTCTCTGAGCATTATTTCACTCATTATACTCACCAGGGATTTTGCTGATTGTTATTCTGGCACGTTCTGCACGTTTCAGCTTCTTGTGAGCACCTCTGCTCACTGAGTATCGATTGTCATCCTGAAAACATGCATGTGATAGATGAATTGTACAGGAGCCAGACAAATCTCTTGCAGACTAGTTCTGTAGCTTAGTGGATCAAAAGAAACTAACCCTGTTGTACTCTTCCAACCAATGCTCCTCATTACATGATAATATCAATTTTTCCACCTTTTCCGTTATGGCCTTCCTGCTAGAAGCCTCTTCTTTTGCCTTTGATATCTGTTCTTCCATGCTCATGAGGAGATCACCATGTTCAATCTCCCCTTTAATACATATGTATGTGTTAGTGAGTGAGATAGTTTAAAATGCAAAAGCATACCACATAAGTCAATAATTAATACAAAATATAAAATAAACACTTGATCTCACCAGAATTTACGAGGTTTATTATGTCATCTATCTCTGACTGTGCAAATACCTGCATGTGTGATCTCTTGCATATCTCCTCAAGTTCAATCTGTTTCTTGAGGAAAAGCTCTTTCGTCTTGCTTACTTTTAACTGATCCAATCTTTCAACTTCAGCCTCAGCCTAGAAAATTGGAATACCAGATGAGACTTTGTTATAATCATCTATGTCTTGGTAACTGCTAATAATTTTATTGACCTGCTGAATTATATCTAGGGCGAGGCTTCCTGGACCACAAATTTCATCTGCTGAGAATGCTATAAAATTGATCACGTGGAAAAATAGCCTACGATCTTCATAGGGAATGTCCATGAGATTCCACAAGTTTGTCAATCCTTTCCCAAGTTTGTGAAGCTGCAAAATTTGCAAGTTAATTGATAAAACAGATATTTTTTATTTATCTGGAGCTCCCATAAAAAAAAAATTGAGTTTTTGGAAAATTTATAAGGCATGATATTTATTTCTATCTTTATGTAGTATTTTATTGTCATTTTTAAGAGAATTGCAAAAGTTCACAGCCAAAACCCTTATTTTTCAACTTTTACAGTTAGTGCTATGCTATAAAGTTTTATTTGGCCATATCATTCGGCTTCGGCATAGATAGAAATTTTATGAATTAAATGATAATCGAGTTTTTTTTTTATTGTTTACTTTTCTTAGTTGATGGGAAATGTGCATATTGTGCGATTATGGTCTAGGCAATTTAGTTCAATGAATGGCCATGGCTTGTCATACTCTGAAGGACATCATCTTGAGTTCAAATTCTATATCCTCATTCTTGCTTTTTTTTTCCTCTTATTGAGTTCAAATTTGATACCTTTACTTCAGGTACTTGATTCTTGATTCCGTATATTGTTAGTTTTATATCTTAATGGATCCCATTTCTAATCCTTAAACTCACCTCTAAATCTTGCCCAAGTATAAAATTATATACCCTAAACTCCTAATAGCTGATAACTTCTTTTAGTCTTTCATATTCTTTTACTTTATTTACAGTATGTCAACCCAAGATCCCTGTGTCCTATATTTATTCTGGTTTATAAAACCCCAAGTTAACCTGTTCAAAAATCCTATATAGCTCTTCTCAACTGAAACTCCATTTTTCTATTTGTAAAT